TAAGGGCTTAAATTTAAAAATAATTGAATAAAGATTTAACGTTTTCATATATACTCATAATGATCCAACTTTTGAAAACAATCGAATAAGAGTTTAATATTTTTAAATCTACTTAAATAAAGGCTTAAACTTTTGAAAATGTTTTTAAATAAGAGTCTTTATCTGCCGATAAGGGTTGACACAAGTGGTTGGAATTCAAGAATTTGAATTTGTAAAACTAAGTTCGAATCCCAACACCGTCACTCTTAGTGGACAATATGTAAAGTCCTATGTAAATCTCAATTGGTTCTTAAGTATGCCCTGGCATTGGACTGTGAAGACACCTCTGACCTAAACTTTTATATAGCTAAAAAATAATAATAAGGGTCTTTATATGAGTATATTAGTATATTAAAAAAAATAATTCTTTAAAAAAAAATATTAGTGTTTGTTGTATTATATATCCCCAAACTATAACCCTTATTTTATATTAATCATTAAACTTTTGAATATTTCAATTTCATCCCCAAATTATGAATTTTATTCTAAATTAGTCTCTTAAATTTTGAATATTCTAATTTCATCCCTAAATTATGACCCTCTTTCTAAGTTGATCCCAAACTTTTGAATATTCCAAATCATCCAAATATGTAATTAGTTTCAACCATAGTTTAACCTAAATTTTATTTTATTTTTGAAACATATAAAATAGAAACTTGGCCCAATGATTTTATTAACAAGGGATGTGATTTGTATATATGTTTAGTTTGGGATGAAATATGAATGTTCAAAAAGTTTGGGACCAATTTAGAATGCAATCATAGTTTGGGGATGAAATTGAAATGTTTAAAAGTTTGAGGACTAATTTAAAATGAAAGTCATAATTTAGGGAGAAATTTGATTTAAAAGATTATGGACCAATTTAAAATAAGGATTATAATTTGAGGAATTGTGATGCAATTAACTCAAAGTATTAGATCTTTGTATAAATAGACTAAAAAATGTTGTACTCCTAATTTATTTATTTTTAAAAAATTAAACCCTTATATGGAGAATTTCTAAATTAAGAGACACTTATTTAAACATTTAGCCAATTTAGTTTCACACAATATATGGTGATGGGTCAAAAATTAAATATGGGACCAAATTATGTTAATAAAAATCCTATGTACCCTCTTTTTCCTTTTCTTTTCTTGATTTGGATACCCTCATATCTCATCTAATTTAATTGTTTGGATCTTTTGCATTTATTTGTAAATCAACTAAAAAGTTAAATGCATATTGCATAAAAATATTATTACTATTATTCTCAATTATTTTTTTGAATTAATCATTGGTATCCGATCTATTGACCGTCTAATCCAGATCGGGTACTGCAAAGGCGAGGGTGACCCTCCCAACCCAGTTTGCTCCATTCGCAAAGGCTAGGATTCGAACCCCAACCTTACTTACGGGACCTAATATAAAATTTATTTTAACTCTTAATTCAATTATCTTTTATAATTATTAATATTCAGTTAATCTAAATTAAGTATTATAAAGGCCTATTATGATGACGAGATTTACAATTTAAAAATTAACTTAATTTTATTTAATATAAATATATAAAAATAGTCATATAATACTATAATAAAGATTAAATAAAGCTATTAATCGAAACTTATATTTTCAATTTTATTCCTTTTAGATTTTATATTAATTTTTTTGAGTTAATACTAATTTTAGAATTAAATAATTTAATCACTATTATTATTTAATCCTAATTTGATGTCCAATTAGTACACTTATAATAGTATTTAGATTCATTTGATAATAATTATGAGTAAAGAGGAATATTATACTCTTTAGAGGTTTCACGTTCGAGCAGTTGTGTTTATAGGTGTGTGCGCACGTTGTTAATAAACTAGAAAAATATCTGAATATATATTACCTTATAATCATCCCAAACTACTCGAAAAATTATGAAATGTATTGATCTCTAGATTCTGAACATCAACGGCAGGGATTTAAATAGCGGTCCGCGATCGCGATAGCACCCGTGATATAGCGGTAGCGGTACCATTCGCGACCGGTATTATATGAGTTGATACCCGCAGTCCCCGCAATAGCGTCCACTATATTCGCAATCGACCCGGTCGAAAACGCGATCGCAATCGCTATTTGAATATCTGATCAATAGTAAAATATAAAAATTGATATATGATCACATGATTTCGATTGCAGGATAGTATCTGTTTAGAATTTCCTTAACTAATTCATAACGCACACATCTAGCGGACACAATAACTCGATCCTTTCGTTCTGTATAATTTTATATTTTATTTTTTAAATTTTTTTGTTGAATTAATCTATCAATTATTGAGAAAACATTAGGTTATTTTGGAGACGAGGCTGGCTCCTTACAAAACCTTAGTCTCTTTGTAAACGTCCATATAAGCATAAGCGTCAAACGCGTAGATTTGAACGTGAATTGCACTAATGAGAAAACAATTTTCGAAACGAACAATAAAGCAGAATATATATTGCTAATTAACGACTCATCAGAATCTCCATTGTCCTGTTTTTCAGCTGTTACAAAGCCAACACAAGAGGAGGAAGAAGAAGAAAACAGAGTGTTGGGGATTATGTCTGGAGGAGTAACAACCTTGGAATACACTCCGACATGGGTGGTGGCTGTCGTCTGCTTCGTCATTGTCTTCATTTCACTTGCCGTTGAGAGACTCCTCCATTTCCTTGGTAAGGTATGTTCCAATTTCTGCATTTGTGTCTCTGTGTGTGTGTGTGTTTGATGACGTGTCTCAATGACCCCTTGATTTTCAGTACTTGAAGAAGAGGAATCAGAAGCCTCTCTTTGAGGCCTTGCAGAAGATCAAAGAAGGTGTGTAAAGTTGTAACACTAAAATATGGAGTTGGGATTCGGGTTTCGTGTCGTATCGGATGTCGATATATGCATACATGATATATGTTTTTGTGTGTGTGTGGATTGTAGAGTTGATGTTGCTGGGATTCATATCACTGTTACTGACAGTGTTCCAAGAGAGTATCAACAAAATCTGTATGTCAAGTGATTTGGCTGATCGATGGCTGCCTTGCCGGGAGAAGAATGGAGTGATCAAAGAACACTTCCAGACCCTTTTTTCGTCCTTTCATCCCGGTGGTATCGGACGTCGTCTTCTCGCCGAAGCCTCCGATCCCGCCGTTGCCTACTGGTACCTTTTTTACTGTAAGCAATTCTGGAACTTGGATGGAACCATATGCTTTATTAACTGCAAATGTGTCCAAATTCAATCCAGGGGAAAGTTCCATTGTTATCGACCACAGCGTTGCACCATCTACATATACTCATCTTCGTGCTGGCGGTCGTACATGTGACTTTCTGTGCTCTAACTATTGTTTTCGGAAGCGCAAAGGTATGTTTCCCCATTGAGTTACTCTGATTCATCTGATTCTAATGCCATGTATAATGCCACTGCTTTATGTTTCCTTCTGACATGTCCTTTTATGTATGATTCAAGATCCATCAATGGAAACGTTGGGAGGAAATTTTCAAGGATATGGAATATGATCCGACCGAAGGAATCGAATACCGATTGCTATTAGGATATACTTGTTGGACTGCATATTTACCAGTCCACTATGATATATGCTTATCCATTGTCAACAATGCAGCACTGGGATTGTTCAAAACTTTTTAACTCTATACCTATTTTATGTTGCACATGTTACTTTGCAGTTGTGAAAACAAAGAACACCCAGGTCCAAGAGCATGATTTTATACGGAATCGGTTCCTCGGCATTGGAAAGAATTCAGAGCTACAAGGATGGGTGGTAAGTCAAGATCTTCTGGTCATGATCATCTAACTCTTTGGTATAATAACACAGTAACAGTTTTTATGGCTTTGATTTGCTTTCAGTATTCTTTTTTCAAGCAATTCTATGGATCTGTGACGAAATCGGATTATATAACACTAAGACTAGGCTTCATCATGTCAAGTTAATCGGATTAACCTTATTTCGTTCCGTTTTTTATTCATTTTCGATGCATCAATTCTCTTCCCTCAACTCCTGCAAAATTTCTTCTCTTAGACTCATTGCAGGGGGAATCCAAAGTTTAATTTTCACAACTACATGATGCGTGCTCTCGAAGCCGATTTCAAGAAAGTCGTCGGGATAAGGTCAGTTTATGATAAAATGACGCTAACTGCAGTTTTCTTGGGTCCTACACTTCAATCAAATAGTTCAACATATGCTTAGCCTCATAAGCATTTATGTCATTGCTCACCTTTGGTGAAGAATAATGCTTTCTCTATGTATTCATCAACATATATCAGATTCTAAACTTTCATTTCATCAATCACTTAACTACAGTTGGTATCTTTGGGCATTTGTTGTCATCTTCATGTTGCTGAATTTCGTCGGTAAGTTACCGAACTTATTCGAATTTTCGGCACGAGTCTTGTTCTTAGATATGCACTTGTCACTTGATGAGACATGGAACTATGGTGTTAGTTGCTGGTTTCATGTCTGAATCAGCCAGTGAAGATTGTTAATTTTTACTCAAAATCGATATTCGGTTCCTTCCGCAGGTTGGCATACGTATTTTTGGATAGCATTCATTCCCTTCATTGTGAGTGATTCAAATAAACACTTAAGATTTATTGTACCATGTTGAATCAGCTAAGGCAGGCATATTAATTATTGCATTGACAATGGTTTTCCCTTTGGTAGCTTTTGCTTGCTGTTGGCACCAAGTTGGAGTATATAATCACACAACTAGCTCAAGAGGTAGCTGAGAAACACATTGGTTCAACCCTCGGATAACCATTTCTGGTTCAACAGGCCGCGACTCATTCTCCGACTCATTCGCATCATCCTCTTCCAAAATTCTTTGGAAATGGCCTTTTTCGCCTGGATATGGGTAAAACACACAATGTCCTTGAAACATTACCGACATGTCATTCCCCGTTTATTCAGTAAACAACAACCTTTTCTTCTTCCATACAGGTCCAATACGATTTCCACTCAGGCATGATGGGTCAAGTTCGTTTCATTATCCCCAGACTAATCATAGGGTATGAACACAACAAAAGAAACTCGGTTTCAAATCTGTTTCTTCTCCGTGTTTCCGATAATATATTCAACGTTCAAGCATTAACGTCATCTTATTCGGTCATTATTAGGGTACTCGTTCAGTTCGTATGCGGCTATAGTACCCTGCCCCTATTTGCATTTTTCACACAGGTAACATTCAACATGAACAACAATAACCAGAACAGGAGAAGCTGTTTTCTTCTGTGAACTGATACAAATCTTGGGATTGATTCATAGATGGGAAGTTCATATAAGAAGGCGATATTCGACGAACATATTCGCGAAGGGCTGGTTGGTTGGGCGAAGAAGGCGAAGAAGAATAAGGGCATCGGTTTCAAAAGGTCATCCAATGAGTCTAAACAAGTTAGTCCCAGGGAGGAGTCTCCACTGGTATTTGAGATGCAGAAGGTTAATGCAAAGGAGTCTTCATCTTCATCTCCAGTATGAGGATGAAACTTGCAGAGATTGGATCAAAGTTAATTGGAACATACAGAAATTGACAAAAGATTCAAAGAAGCACATTAGATCACAAAACAACCACCAATCGACCAGATACAACTCACAAAGCTATGTCCCCTTGTCTCTTCAACATGGGCAGAAACAGATGTAGGATTTTATACTAGGAGCAAATTTATAAAATTTTAGGGGGAGAAAACATATTGTTAATAGAAAACACAAAGAAAATTCTAAATTATACGAGAATTTGAAATTTTCAAGGGACAGTCGCCTCCGTCAGCTTCCCTCGATCCGTCATTGATCGTATATATGAATGTTCTGTAAAGATCTTACAAAAGATTGTGTTCACCAAAGAATGAAGGGGGACTTGGCATAAGACATATTATCATGGAACAAAGCTTGTGTTCTGTCTGGACTAAATCATGATCTCTTTGCATGGCTTGGGTGGAGATTTATAGGCTGAAGGGTAATGCTGTGTTACAAGTCACACATAGTCAGAGTTGGTTTTGGAAGAAGATGCTGAAACTTAGAGCCCTTTTGCCTGTTGTGGGTTGCTCTCAAACTGATTTTCAAGGCTAGCAAAATATGGGAGAAGCTTGACAATACCTTGGTAATTCATACATAGCTTGGCATGCTGCGGTTGATAGGCTTGTGGCTAGGGATGGATTTCACCTAGACTCGACAGGTTCTGACTCGATTCAACTCAGTCGAATCAGTTTTCTGTTTTGAAAATTAAAGTTTGGTTAGGTCGGGTCTTAATAAGATAATGTCAAGTTGTGTTTAGGGTTAAAAAACCCAACCCAATCCGACCTATCATAATATTATAGATGTCCCTTGTAAATTTAGGGATAATTACAATGATACATCTTTCTATTTTATTTTATTCCAATTATGTCCTTATTTTACTTAATAAATATGAACTTTTTTAATATATACATCTATGTCGGGTCAGATGCAAATTTTGACTTAAAATATCATATCGAATTTTGAGTCGGGTGGGACTCTCCTAAACCCAGATCAGGTTGGATACATGTAGAGAAATTTGATTTTTGGGTCAGGTTCGAATGGATCAAAAACTCGACACGACCCAGATGTTGATTGTGTAATGAAGAACTCGAGACCAGAGACCATTTGTTCTGGAGCTGTTCTTATTCCAAGCAACTCTGGTGTACTAAAACTGATATAAACATAAGAAAAGAGGTTCAAAAAATTGATGATAGTAGCAATAATACAACAAATTTTGTGTAAGTACATTAGTATAAGTGCCTCATTACCTACGGACGAAGCAATCAATGTTAACAAAAGAACAAATAACGATGAACAATGAAGAAGACAAGCCATTCTTTGACATACCGAGCTCGAGAAACTTCATATCTTCTTCTCTCATTTCCTTGGAATCCATCGTACCATGTCGACGATAACCAGCATCGCTGCAACTTGTTACTTTCTTTACGAGCAATTGAACCAGCATGGCCAAGGAGAGTGTACAAAAATCTTTTCTTTTTCATATTCAACGGCAAAGGTTTGATAATGCAACGTGTTTTACACAGTTGCCCGTTGTTGGACGTTCCGCTTCTCATCCAATCTATGCCGAAACAACTTTGTTACGGCTCTCCTCTCACAATCCTGCAATTGAAGAAACCAAAGATGAATAAGTTGTCTAATTTTAAAACCCAAAACCATTTTCTGTCAGAGTTCTTTACCTTGAACATGTTTAAATAAAAGGGCTTGTCGGGATTCATCTTTCTAAATTTCCGGTATGTATACGCGAAACTTAGCTGATCGCGGGGAGTAAACCGCTCAACCTCATTGAACCAAAGACATGAGAACAGATTCGACATTGGGGTGTGTGCTCTAACAATGAAAGAACCTTCAGGCACATCTGCATACACAATACCGAACACTCCAAACATCAAAATAAAAGCACAGAATCCTGTAAGGATGCTCGAGTGTAAAAGTTCTTACTGCTAGGAAGAAGCTTGTTAGGATCCGAAGCATTGAATTTTTCAGTCCATCAGCCTGATAGAATTCAAATTGCTCGTCGATGACTGTATGATTATACTTGTTCAGCTTCTTATTTTGTGCAACCTCCTCCCAGACACAATGGCGGTCGTAGTGATTAGAAATGGCATACTCGTGACCTTTTCGCCACAAGAAGTAGTCCAGGAGTTGTAAGGGGTCACGCTGTAAACGTAGTTTGCTGTCTAACCAGATTGAGTACCTGAGACCGGAAAAGTTTGCAACAAATGTCAATCCTGTCTAACTAATACATCCACAAAGTAAATAATCGTAAAATACAAATTACTACTGCTAAAAGAAAACTTCATTCATGAAAACTGCCACGAAATGTCAAATAAAAAGCCAAGCTAACTGTTGGTCAGGGTTGGAGTATGTTATAAGATAACATAAAAAGAGAATACTAACTAATAAAGAATCCGAAACATACAAAAAGCTAGTGGATGCATTATGAGATAAAAGAGTCCAAATATCCAGTTCAAACCTTGCAAAAGGAAATAGTCGATGCGGTAACATTTTTGGTATTTTCCACTCTGCGCATATCATCATAAGGAAGATTCTTTACAACCACTATCTTCCATAAACCAATAAAACCACCATCCGGTGTTTGACCGTCTGAATAAAGTGTTTGCACCGTAACTTCATCCACAAACATAACAAAGCAGACATTTTTCTTGATGAACGAGTAACCTATCAGGAGAAAATGATGATTGTGCCATTGTTATAATCCATATCACGTTTGCTCAAGTAATTCAATGATAAACAAAATGGTTGGCATTATAACCATTAAAGAATGAACAGTGTGATAATACATGTATGAATGAAACCATGCAGAACATGGTCTAATAGATTCAAATAATGAACGACAGCAGTGGCATGTCCTTCCTCCCAGTTAGATTTTGTGCCATTCAACCTAACGGGAGCAAGCTTTTTGTTTTTCAAGCTATGCCGTTGTTTTTGCTTTCCACCTTAAAAATCTTAGCTCCAGTACATACTCATGTCACCTCCAATCAGAGTCGGGGCTTGGGTGGAGGAAAGGGACAGAGACTTGAACGGAAATGCTGGTGGACACAGAACACAATCTGGCCTTTGCCGACCTAACTGAACCAAACAATGTTTTTCGGACATCTTTGCCAAACTCGAGAAAATTTTGGACAGTTATAAATTGATGGAAAGCGGAATAGAATTTACTTTGTTTTCTTTTGGCATCAGAAACTGTTTGTTCTTTTTCTCTTTCCAGTCTGAAGTCTGTGAATTAATACAGCCTCCGGCATTCAGGAAACCTAGAAAGTGCCATACAAAATGGAAAACACAAAATTTGCTAATTCTAAAATAAAATCACAAATCTAATGCAAACATCAACATATCATATGAAGAATAATAATCAGTACACCCAAATGAAGAGGATGGGTTATGACTGAAGACAGTCTAAAGAAGAGATAACAGGGAGGGAGGAGGAACAGAAGTACCAAAGTAATGCTTGCATGAGTAAAGAAAGGAGAACGGAAAAGAGAATGCCTACTTATTTCTACTCATATATATGGCTAGATACACATGTATGTGTGCATGGTGAGGTTGTCAACAGCAACATAAAGGTTCTCTTATTGATTCGTGATTGAACCTAAAACTCAAGTTATCAAACAGATAACCTAAAACATGCATGCAGATATTCTATAATTCAAAAATAACCACAAAGGACACTGATACCAAGTTTCCCAGAAGAAAGATTATCCCCATACCATTTTGCCAGCAGGTGTCCTCAGGCGATCTGAATTTCCAAAAATGCAAGATATGACAGCAATGTGGCACCTGCTGATATAATTCACATCATCTTCAGCCAGATCAAAGCCAGTGCTTGGATATCCTTGTGGACCTTTAACAAACCCACAATTTATCTTTTTATCACGTGCCAAAAAAGATTCCTCGCGTTCTTGTAAACTCTGATGTCCCACAAATTTTGGTTTCCATTGCTCTCCTTTAGGCTTCTCCATTTGTGTATACTGTAAGGAAAATCGTGCAAACTTTCGACTTTCTACAGGCTCCACAAGGTGTGTTGAATTTATTAATTTCATGTCACAAGAGCCTAAGAATTAAAAGTAAAATGTTATTCAAGAAGAAGAGGCAAATTTTTTTTTGATAGGAATAGGATGTCTCATTTAAAACCTCCTTCTAAGTAGTCCATTGCCGTAAGGCAAGAACCCTCTAGAAAAAGGAGGAAAAGAGAACATCAATTTATTAGAAATGAAACACTTACAAAAAATAACATACAGAAGAAAACACACTCCTACAAAAATACTTAAGACAAGAAACACTCCTACAATACCTCACCACATAGAAAACACACTCCAACTAAAATACCAAAGACTAGAAACACTCAGCCAATACCCTCCTTAGCCAGCTTATCCGCCTCACAGTTACAACACCTAGGGATCCACCTGATAACGATCTGATTTCGAGAAACAGCAGACACTATCTCCTTCACAAAAATAGATAGGTACAAAGGGACAGAATTTTTGATATTTAATCCATTCCACTGCTGTCTTTGAATCACTTTCAACAATAAGCCTACCCTTCGAAGCCCAAACAGATGAAACAAAGATGTCAATGCCTTTCTTGATAGCCTTTAATTCTGCTAGGATGGGAGTATTAGGACCAACATTTATCGAAAAAGAAGTCAGAATCACCCGATTCCAGTTCCTAAGAATACCCCCAATACCAGCCACCATCCCCAAACTACTCACCGCTCCTCAACATTCATTTTAAAATAATCCATAGGAGGAGGAATCCAGCAAGACCCAATGCTGTTCAAAACCTTGAAGTCTGGAAAGTTGTCTGCCACAGAGGGGTCACCAATTAAAAAATCAACTTGAGTTGAATACCGAGGAAACTTTGCAACAAACCACTTAGCTAGTCTGAAACGAACAGTAAAAGATAAAGAAATTCTGTCTAACTTTCCCTTGTCGAAAATGATCTCGTTCCTTAACTTCCAAATGGACC